TAACAATTCTTGACTTAACAAATAATTTAAATATTTTAATAATTAAAACTCTGCCCTTAAGTGAGGACAATTTTTCTTGCCTTACTCTAATCGAAAGTCTCTAACATAGTACCTCAAGGAACTTATCTATCCTTGTAAACTTAAACAAATTATTGAAATAAATTAAAATAAAATCAACAGAGCCAACTATCTAAATAAACTGATCACTCTTGACAACCAATAAGGCCATACCAATTTAATTCTTCGTTTAACATAACCTCCCCCCTCTCTTTTTAAAAAATTTATATAGTATGAATAAACAACACAATATTTATATTAACCAATAGGAAGCTTGCATTTTGATTATGCTAACTTCACAAAAAATTCTGCAATATAGACAAACTATTGACTCTATTTTAGCTAATCTTACTAGTATCGTGTTATAGCATGTGCAGAAAGTAAAAAATATATTATGCGATAAGGTTAGTGCTGTGTTAGTGCACATGCTACAATACAATTGTAATACGAAATTTGCAGCTACAAAAAGCAAGGTACTTGTTCAAAACAGGATTTTTTATGTAACATGGCCACGATCGGTACTTAGTACTTCTGCAGGGTTCAGAGATATGAATGACAACGATCAAATAGAGTGAACGTAATTGGTAGGGTTATAAAGATATATCAAGTATATCAATAGGCAAACTTTAAATCACGCGTAATCTTATTACTATTTTAACGACGTGCATAAAAATATGCATCGATTTGTAGTTAAAATAAATAGTAGTAATTATTTCTTTTCCCAAGCGATAACAAAAGGGAATTACGTACGTTCAAGAACTATTAAATAGCCGAACTGAACGGCTTCGATTAAAAAATAATAAGTTTAAATGTTTTTCACCTGCAAGCAAAGAAGCTATTGCAGAAATATTTAAAGTAAATTTGGCATTTATTATCGTTATTTTTATTACATACGAATATATATATATTATATTATATAATTAATGTTTGTACGTAGTCAATTTATAGTATAGACTCTACATTAAAAGTCGAAGAAACTACACAAGCGCAAATACGCCGCCATCCTGCATTAGTCAAGTTTATGGAAACTCATTGCCAAATGCGTACTTATAGTTTCCAGGTATGTATTAACAATAATCTATATACCTTTTAAGTCTGTATTAGAGTGTCCAGACTTGTGCAATTTAAAATGCATTTTTATGCAATATGAGAAATGTTGATTCTGTGATATCAGTGCGAATCAAATTTAGGGGGATCAAATTAAAAACAAATAGAGATAATAATAACTAACAAAAATTACTCTGCCGCACCGTAATTGTTTGATCAAAAAATGTGCATAAATGTGCATTTGCATTTTTATGTTGATATTAGTCAATATTAACATTTGCATAAATATCGCACTAGCTGCATCAAGATAGGTAATTTTATTATGCATTTTATGTGTCTAAAATGTAATTGCACAAGTCTGGACACTCTAGTCTGTATCGTTACATAGTATTTTGAACAATTAAATTTATACATTAAAGGTAAAAAAGTGCAACAATCCTTCTTGCTTATATTGCAAACCAATCCGTCTTCCACCACATGAATTTCGTAATTTGAGCTTTCTTCCAGATCCGATTCTATCAAAAGGTAAATTATGCTATTCTCTAGAATAAATATATATTTATATATATTAAGAAATTTAATTACGATTAGAAAATGCGGACCACTATGCAGCTTTTCAACAAGTTTATGGTACTAAAACTACAGAAGAATTTAGGCCAACATATATTGCGAAATCAGAGTCAATTCCAAAATATATTCTAGTTGCTGAAAAAATCCGAGATTACATTAATTGTGAAAATTGCCGAAAACGTCGTTGTGTATATAGTAACAAGTCTTTAACTGATGATGAACAGCGGGATTACCAACAAGCATTAGAGTCGTATTCATATTCTTGTGGCGCACCGGTTTTTCCTGATGATCATTATTTGATAGAAGTAATATTCGTACGTACACAGATTAATTGTGACTCACCTATTGAAATATTGTACTATTCAAGTCGTAAAGCAGGAAATTATCCGATTTGTTATTACTGTGGAAGTAGAGACGGTTTGGTAACCCCTTCTCAATCATTGAAAGAACAGTTCAAGCAAATTTATCCGTTATGTGAATACTGTCAAAAAAATCAAAAAGATTTTCATACAAAGGGAACGATTAAAACTAACAATAAGGCTGCGAAACATCCTAATGAATAAGACCATCACTAAGATAAATTTTATTATAAAACAGGTAATGTTATAAAGCTTTGAAATTAAAATTTTAAAATTCAAAATTAATATTTAGCTATGCCTGCAAAATCGCACCATCCTTTTTTTATATGCAGCAAGAATTTCTTTATGGATTGATTAAATTTTAACAATTACTTAGAGGTAGTGGATATAGATCCACGAATGAAATATTTCATAAGCTATGCGATAATACCGGTTGTTTGAAATAATATTCGTAGTAGTTATGATCTCTTAAATAAAAGTTGCTGATAGAGAATTTAATAAATATAAAATTTCGCATATCATTAAGTATTCGTACAGTCACAACTTTATATCAATTTTAAGTTTACCGGTATGCTATAACCGAATTAAATGTAAAAGGAACCGTTGCAAATTCGTAAACATACAACTATTATTAACCTATAAACGATTAAATACTTACAAATTAGGAGAAACATGCTCATAAAGTATACTTTCCAGCACCCAAATTTACCGAAGCAGCTAAAAGTGCCATAAAAAGTCTTATGTACTGGACATATCTGATATGTATATCTATACGTACCAGATCCAGACCTTGTCCGATAGCTCAAATTTCTTGGCACTTTATGCAGGCTCATGCGATTTGGCAGGAAAAAATCGAGCATTTTAGGTTCTATAAATAATTTGCAGTTAGTATGTACAAAAAAAAAACACAACCTTAAAGTTCAGAATAAATTTACTACCATAAAACGCCGTATAAGATACCCTCCTTGATTTGTACCGGGTATATTTCAAGGTTATTTGTTATGTTTTGTAAGAGACCCGGGTATAAATCAAGAATCGATTTAATAACCAATTTTTTTTTACTAATAGACTAATATATGCTCTTCACAAGATACCCTCATGCAATATCGATTTATTTATTTGCGCGAGTAATACAAACCAAAAAAGAAAAGTAAATAAACTAAGTGTGTAAAGACGGAAGTTTAGGGTTAGAGCGTTAACATTAGACGCTATAGCAATAGACTGTTATCCACTTTATGTAATTTTCGTTCCTGATATTTTTAATTAGTACATCAGGGTCGATTTAAACACTAATTTTTGAGCATTTTCGCTTTTTTCTTCTTTCGCACGTGTTCGAAATTCATGTCGGGCCGATCCAGAATAGTCAAAATTTGTGCTCTCCGATTGGCCACTTTCGTTTTGGCAGTTTGTATTACTCACGCAAATAAGCATGTGCCATATAATATACCCTCTCCTCCATACAAGATACCCGGGGTACAAATCAAATTTTTACCATGTAAATTGTAAGATACCTGGGTATCTTATATGGCGTTTTACAGTAAATATTTATTTATATCTTATATTAGTTTTCTAGTATATATAATTTATATTTTTGAATAGACAATTTTTTATTATGTGATATATTTTGTTTATTATTTTAACCCTCCCCCCCTATCTTATTGGCTATTAAAGTTATGTTAAACAAAGAATTAATTTGGTGTGGCCTTATTTTGGAATAAATGATGTACATCACCTGCATCACTTATTTTTAACCACCCTCGAAAATTCACAGGAAGAATCTTATAATGTTAGAGAATTATGAACTTATACCCGGAAATTAAACAAATGCTTCCTTTTGGTTAAATAATCCTAGAAAGCATATTTTGTACAAATTTTACTTATAAAATCTGGGTGCGTCGATCATTTGACCTACTATTAAAATTTTTATATGTGAAATCTAGTCCGATTGATATGTTTAGTCGGTGAGGGATTATATCTGTAACATACATAAATAATTTTATAATTAATTGATCACACCACGTGTGGGATTAAATGTGTAACGTTAACGTACGTACGTCGTACTGGGCTGATACTAACAGGTACGGTGTGGGAATTTTAATCTCATTAGATTGATAGGCATAGAAATAATACGCCAGGAATAATGTTAATGTTACACTAAGTGAGGGATTATATCCATCACATATAAATCATTTCAATTTAACTGATCACCCCGCGTGAACTACGGGGTGAGGGATTATATCCATAACGTACATTTTAGAGTAAGCTCAAAATAAATAATTTTATTATTGATTAACTACATCGCGTGAAGGATTAATGTGTAACATTGACGATTTCTCCTGTTGCCAGGAATAGTGATCCAAATCGTTAGTTGAAAAATCAACTAGTTGACAACTTTCCAACTAGTTGATTTGAAAAATCTTAAAAACAACTAAACAACTGAATCATTAATTAGTTCAATTATGAGACATTCTGTCTGTTCGGGCTAACTCATGCTAATTTCTTTTATTTGATTGGCTAATTAACAAATTTAGTCACATGATATAAAAGTTGATTAGTTGCAACTATAGTTGGCAACTAGTTGATTGGCAAAATTTTTACCAACTTGGAACACTAGCCAGGAATACGCCAAAAATAATATGTACTTAATAGGAGTTGCTTTTAGTAAAAAAAAACTTTTGGGTAAATAATAACAATTTAAACAATACAGTAACGGTAATATGATAAAAGATCAGGAATGGTTAGCCAAAAGAAGCTCGTAATGAAATTTTACACAGAGAATAATGAAACCAAACATTAAGTGGAAAATTGCTATCGCTAACACTAACGCTAATATATATAACACCGGGTCAGTATGGCACGTTTTTTTAAAAATAACAATAATAGCGATAGACCAATTAATTAGGATAACGATAACTGGACATTAACAATTTAAATAATGATCAGCAAGTACTAACGCTAACGGTACCATGCTGATCTGCTCACCCAATTAAATACGCCCATATGACTCTAAGCATGATTTTGCCAAAGAACACATTTGCCGTTCAATTTATCCTAATTAATTGGTTTATTATTGTTATTTCATCACTGTTTATGATTTTTTTCTGTTTTGGTTTATACATGCGTATAACGATAAGACGAGAGAAAAAACATCAGGATACGTTAATGCCCAGTGGCGTTCAATTAATTGGTTTATTATTTTTATTTCATAACGATAACGAGATTTTTTTAAAAAAACGGGTCATAAACCTGTTCTGGTTTATGCATGTACTATACATGCGAATAAGACGAAAGAAAAAAATATCAGGATATAAAATTGTTGCATATATAATGATAACGATAACAGACTTTTTTTCAAAATGCCTGTTCATCAATGTTATGAAAATTATAGCTCAAGACATAGTGCTGTGGGCGCATGGTTCCTTGGCCCTCGTGCTGAAAACTCCGATAAACTGCGAAGGTTTTTAGAAGATGCTATAGAGATACAACAGAATGCTAGAGAACGATTTTTTCCGGATGATAACATGAGATTTCTGTATTATTTTACTTGATTGAATACCAAAGACATGAAATATTGTTGTAATACTTTTTATCTTACCATAGAACTTTATCACCACTTCAATGAAAGAATCCGATCTATACAAACGTTACATTCAAAAGACAACCGAAAATCTTCAGGAATTTGGGTCTATGTTGTCAAAAAATTCTGTTCCTTTTTGGTCACCCCGCTACATGGGGCATATGAACATGGATACAACGCTACCCTCAATTATTGGTTATGTGACAACAATGCTTTTTAATCCAAATAATGTCGCTGTAGAAGCAAGCCCTTTCACGACTTTGGAAGAACAAAATGTTGGGAGAGATTTATCTAAAATGCTCGGATACAACACTAAACTCACCCAGGAACCTGTCGCGTGGGGCCATATAACGTGTGATGGTTCTGTCGCAAATTTAGAGTCAGTATGGTATGTACTATCGCTATGTATTTATTAACTTTCACTAAATAATTCAATGAAATTTAATATTAATATTTTGCCTCATATTATCTTAAAAATAATAGGGCAGGTACACACATCAATGTTACTCGTTTTTCAATGAGAAATGTGTATCATTTAATTATTAATCATTTATAATTTCACCGTCATTTTCCTTTCGAATTTTTTTTATTTTTTAATTTTTTTTATTTTTATTTTATTTTATTTTATTATTATTATCATTATGATTATTATTTTATTACTTTTTTACTTTTTGCTATTTTATTTTTTGCTTTTATTTTTTCAATTTATTTATTTATTATTTTTTCCTAATCTTTAATTAAAATTTACGCAGCTCGTAATCTCAAATTTTATCCTCTGTCACTTCACTTGGCCATTCGACCTTCTGCCCCCCTAAACCATATTGCAGAAAAATTTCATATTGAACTTTGTAATGGAAAACAGAAGTTATTTAAGGATTGTAATACATGGGAGATTCTTAACTTGAAAACGCGTACAATATTAGATTTACCAGAACGTCTATATAAGGAACATTATATCTCTAAAGAGTACTTAGAAAGCGTAATGTATAATTACACCATTCAAACAGTAGGGAAAGATTTCTTAGAAAAACAATTCGAAATTTCTAAGCCCATTCTTTATTTTGTTGGCATAACAAAACATTATTCGTGGCCTAAATCAGCTGGTAAGAATACCTAATTTTCATATGATAATGAACATGCAATGCTTATGACATACGTTTTTGGGAAATATAGCTGTAACTGGAATTGGATCAGGGGAAATTGGATCAGAGAATTTTAAAAACATTCCTGTGGATGATGAGGCACGAATAGATCCTGTGGAACTTGATAAGCTTCTTAATGAATGCCTTAACAAGCAGCAAGCCGTTTATGCGGTTGTGGCCATTATAGGTTCAACGGAACATGGTGCCGTTGACCCATTAGATAAGGTGGTAAAATTGCGAAAAAAATATGAAGAGAAGGGCCTCACGTTTGTTATTCATGCTGATGCTGCCTGGGGTGGTTATTTTGCGTCAATGCTTCATCCTTCTGAACTCCCTAAACTTCCGGACAGGGATTTTGTCCCTGAATTAGCCTTGAAAGAGCATACTATGAAGCAATTACGTTGCTTAAAAGACCGCGATTCTATTACTGTCGACCCTCATAAAAGCGGATATTGCCCATATCCAGCTGGTGGGCTATGCTATAAAGATTCTAGAATGAGATATCTTATTACCTGGAAAAGTCCAATTGTGTTTCGAAGTGATGAAGGCATTGAAAGCATTGGCGTGTATGGTATTGAAGGCAGGTAAGATTAAACTAATTATTTTTTTAATCGTTTCATATACAATATATTAGCCTTACTCGTTTCAATGTGTTCAGTAAACCGGGTGCAGCTCCTGCCGGTGTTTCACTATCTCACAAAGTCATTGAATTAAACCGAGGTGGTCATGGTATATTGCTAGGTGAAGCAACATTTTCTTGTACAAAGGTATATTTAATGACATAATAATTGAATTTCTAAATTATAAATGGACATTATTGTCCAGAGCGTAGCGGAAAATCCTTAGCCTCCATGCGATGCTATACAAAAATTACCAAATTATTATTCTTCTGCATAAACATTACGAAGGTCGCATCGGGAATGTATAGTTGTCATCCAAATCTAAATAGTTTGGGACTCTCTATGGTATTAAATATATTTGAATTAATTAAATCCCAAACAAGTTATGAATCCCAATCTGACGTGCGTACATATCACTAAAGCACCATAACGATAATCTGAAATGCAGCGAACATTGATAGTTGCAGTATATTAAAAATATTTCAGAAATAATAAGAGTACTTACCATAAGTTTTGAGATTTGAAACTAGTTTGGAATTCTAAACAGTTTGAGACTTAAATTAAGGTTTGGGACAAATTTTAATATGTAGGTGGCAACTATACATAAACGTAATTTGGATATTTTTTTGCTAGCCAACGCGTGCCTAAATCTGTTCTTTAATATAACAAAAACGCATATTACACGCCTTTTTTAATTTGACGATCATGTGCTCTTGACACATAATTCTATGCATTAACCTAGTTCATATATACTT